AAGGAACGATTGGCCATCGGTGATCGGTCCTGTGGGAACAATGCTCCGTCCTCTCGAGGACGCGTGGTCAATGGTCTAACCGCTAAGACATGCAAAACATAAGAGTACGCCCCCCCCCCCGTCGCGGTTTGCGGTCCATATGTACGTTTTATGTACTGCGTGATAATTTGCCTACGTGTGTATACGTTCATCCGTCTTCAGGTGAATGTTTGAAAAACACACAACACGCGCGCGCTTCTGTCTGGATTCACATCCGTCGCAACATTTGTATGCAATTTTGCTTCTATTCTTTTGCGTGGCCTCTTCTCTCCGAAATGTGCGACACACACACACTAGATGATGCTACGATCACTGCCCAGCATGTTCGCATGCTAGACACGCGAATACAAAGCTTCTCCGCCCGCCTGTGGCGAGGATGTTTATGTTTCCTGGGTGCCACAATACGGCTGTGATGTTTTGAAGTCCTTTGCGGCCTGGAATCCGCGACGGTGGGAGACGCAAGATCAGAAAAAGACAAAATAAGGCCGTTGCCGAGTGTAGAAGGAACGAAAAGTGCCTTCTCTCCTACTTCTGCAAAATATCTGTGTTTGCTTTTTGCATGTCCTTTCATCACCCCCTGCCGCGGTGCTCTCTTTGCCCCACTCCAGAGGGACGCCTTGTATTTTCTGTTGTGTGCTATTAATTTATTAAAACAATTTTCGCATTTAAGAGGACAACACATATTCTACGACGCGAGGACAAAAAACGAAAAGTTCTGAGAAAAGATAAATCGATTCTCGGAGTGGAATGCTTGCTGATGTTCTCGCCGCCGCAGCAGTAGAGATCCATCACTAACGAAAAGTCGACCGATAGCTTCAATATGCCCTTCGTTGGAGGGACATTGTTTGCTACGTGGGGTACCGGAATCGTTGTTGCGGTGGACTGCAGGTAATTGCATCCCAGAAGATGAAAATAACAAAGTTTGCTGTTCCCAGTCAAGGATCTTACCAAAATCGCACATGACGCTGTTGTCTGACAGGATGGAATCGGGTCCTACGGAAGGGACAGCAAGGGCAGTGACCACACGGGTGATACCGCAAAGGGTTAACGCGAAACCGATAAACCCTAAACCTCGATCGGCCAGCCGTTCGCTGTTCGAAGAGAGACGGCGGCCGGCGGGACAGATTTGAGGGGCGCACTTCGCAAAGTCGGATGTGATCGCAACCATGGAAGTGACACGACAAGAGACATCAGTAGCTGTGTCCACAGTGATGTTAACTAACTGGACAGTCTTCGACGGAGCCGTCAATACGCACTCGTCGTGAAGCCAAAGACATGCAGGAAATATTGGGTTTGTGCGCCAGCCATAACAGGTTCCCTTCTTTCACACTTGAACTCGAACTCGAACACGCACGGCGAGGCCGCGGTTGACAACAACTACGGTCATTTTCAGGCAAAAAAGCGGAGACAGGCTGAGCGAACGTAGCACGTTTTCGTGGGGCGGCCCCTACACGACTAAGGGCAGACACGCTCACAGGAGCCGAAGACAAAGAGCTACTATCACACACGCGACGTTTACGTGACGACGACAGAAGCTCTGCCTCCTCGGCAGCCAGGAGGGGACATGTAATTCCGACAAAGCAGTCAAACCTAAAAGCTTTCTCTCGGTTCCATGAGGACGCGCGCGAACTCTAGGAACTATGTCCTACGGTTACGGACACGGACTCGGGGCACAACACAATATCAGGCGTACCGACAGCTACTGACGCGGAGGGTTTCCGTGGCCAAGGACCGCCACGCCCGAGGGGTCCTGCCAGGAAGATCGTAGCACGCCCAACAACCGATGATGATGACGACGAGTAGGGGTGCCCAGCCGCAGAGTAGCGCACGCTGTAGTTGGGATTTCTCCTGCACTTGGCAGGAAAGGCGCGAAGAGGAAAATTTCCGCGTCAGTAGCTGTCGGTACGCCTGATTTTGTTGTGCCCGAACAAAACACGCCCCAACTTGCATAGGGTTGCGTGCACCTTGTTGGGTGTAAATGCGCGAACGCACCACACAGAGTTACACATGTGATACGTCTTGAACATGCAGCGAGGTCAGCGTGAGTGAAACTATTCACACCGGTGCAAAGCGGTTGGCTCTGGACCACGTTCTCGGGAAATTGCACCGTGTAGTCACCATAATGAACTTTGTTGTTAGAGAATATCGAGCGCTTGGTCAAAACGTTTAAGTTTGCTTCGAGTAGGACGGATGTGGGCCCTAAATGAGTATTTCCATTGTCCAAATTTCGCTCCGATATATCTCTGATCCGTGTTCCTCTACTGATTGTGATATGCTTCGTATCTTGAATTGTGAACATTTCCTACCATATTTTTCTTCTCTAGCTGTATGGTCCACTCTTGTTTGGTAGTATAGCCTGTAGCTGCAGATTTTCCGTGTCAATTGCACGGACAAGGTCCGTCGTAAAAGATGGCAAGCACAGATGTATCGGGCAACAATATCAAGATCATCACCGCCACCACCACTCCAACAACATCAGCGGCAGCAGCCCATGAAGTACCAAATGTTTGGACTGTCTTCCAAGCGTTCTAGACAAAACCGTAGGAAGAAAAACCGTCGCCAACAAGAAATCTAAAACTTGAGCAGGAGAGTCCGACCTCCGGATACCGTCCGGGCCGTTGTGTGCATAAGTAAAAATGCACCAATCCACACAGCGGAAACAACGAACGCGCAATGGCTACTGTTGTAAAGCACGATGACCACTAGACTACCAGTCAGCGCGGACTAGTGGTCTAGTGGTCATTGTGCTTTTACAACAAAAGTCAATGCCCGTGTCCGATGTAGCTTTGCAGCCACGAACACGTCCCCCCAGGGTTGCCATCCCTGTGATCAGCGCTGTCTTGCCCGGAAATTGCATCGGTACAAGAGGTACATCGGCTTGCTTTGCGAAGTCTCATAGACTCTTCCTCCTCATACATCGGGCACAAAGGAATTTATGCTCAAGGGGAGATTCGAACCCCGGACACTGGCTTTTGTTGTAAAGCACAATGACCACTAGACTACTATATTAGATAAAGGCTGACCATTTGACTACGTGCACAGTCATCGATAACTGTGCACGTAGTCAAATGGTCAGCCTTTATCGAATAAAAGATACACTCTCGGCTCGTAGCCAATCCCAGTGGATCTGATAGGGTGTAGTGATCTCCGGGGACGGACCCCTCGCCACAAGATGCTGCTATTAGCCGATAATGGTGCCTTGAAACCGATCCACTGGGATTGGCTACGAGCCGAGAGTGTATCTTTTATTCGATAAAGGCTGACCATTTGACTACGTGCACAGTTATCGATGACTGTGCACGTAGTCAAATGGCCAGCGATGACTGTGCACGTAGTCAAATGGTCAGCCTTTATCGAATAAAAGATACACTCTCGGCTCGTAGCCAATCCCAGTGGATCTGATAGGGTGTAGTGATCTCCGGGGACGGACCCCTCGCCACAAGATGCTGCTATTAGCCGATAATGGTGCCTTGAAACCGATCCACTGGGATTGGCTACGAGCCGAGAGTGTATCTTTTATTCGATAAAGGCTGACCATTTGACTACGTGCACAGTTATCGATGACTGTGCACGTAGTCAAATGGCCAGCGATGACTGTGCACGTAGTCAAATGGTCAGCCTTTATCGAATAAAAGATACACTCTCGGCTCGTAGCCAATCCCAGTGGATCTGATAGGGTGTAGTGATCTCCGGGGACGGACCCCTCGCCACAAGATGCTGCTATTAGCCGATAATGGTGCCTTGAAACCGATCCACTGGGATTGGCTACGAGCCGAGAGTGTATCTTTTATTCGATAAAGGCTGACCATTTGACTACGTGCACAGTTATCGATGACTGTGCACGTAGTCAAATGGTCAGCCTTTATCCAATATACTAGTCAGCGCAGGTGGCTGGTAGTCTAGTGGTCATTGTGCTTTACAACAGCTACCTGGTCCATCTCAAATGTGCATCGCTGGGTGTGAACGTGCATGGCTGTTCCCTCAAAGGCTTCGAACTGGAGGTTCTTTTGTGTTGAGGACGTCGACCGCGTCCAACATGGCAGTCTCGCCCCCCCCTGTGATCGGCAAGACTGCCGCGTTGGGTGCCACCGACGTCATGCACACGAAAAACCTCAGGTTCCAAGTACGGGAGAAAACACCGGTGCCCCTCCACACCCCCGAATGCACATTCTAGAGGGACCAGGCACCCGTTGGGCCTTCGTTGTTGTTTTGGTGTCGTCTAGGTCTCCCACAATTTCCACAGTTTTTCCCAAACGACCCATGGGACACCGATGCACACCGATGGGCAGTCCAAGTGCGGCCCATGGGCAACCCATGGGAACCCCATCGGCGGCCAATTAGAGCCCTTCAACCGAACCAGCGAACCCCTATACACAACAGATTATCTGCTTTGGAACGGGCACAATAGCGGCTAAAAACCCTAACGCGAACCCTAACGCTAACCCCAACCCCACAAGATACGTACTAGGTTGGCGATGGTGGCTACGTTCCAGGTTGACATGAAGGTGGCCAAGATCTAGGTTGATATGCCGGTGGCGAAGTTCTAGGTTGAAGTGCCCACGGTGGGCACTTTATGGGTCACACATGGACATGCCCATGGGTCACCCATGGGTGTCCCATGGGTGGTGTAGCAAAACTGTCGGTTGTATGGGAGATTGTGCCGTCTGGCGTATCTTTCTTTTGCACACAGTAGCCCGGACGGTATCGAGAGGTCGTTTGTCGCCTTCGCCTGCTCCAGCTTAGATTTCTTGTCGGCGACGCTTTCACGGTTCTCCCTACCGTTTAGTCTGCAGTAGATTACTCGGAAGGACGTTAACAAACCGTACTTACTTCATGGACCGGCGCTGCTCCTGCTGCTGTTGCCATTGTTGTTGGAGTTGGGTGAACCAGGTAGGCCGAAGTTTGTGTGTGTGCTGCCCGGTCAGCAAGGGTCGAGATGGGAAAGTCTCGTACTTCAGTAGAATATACACGGGAGAGGAAACCGGAGTGCAATATCCATATCCAGATGTTGTTGTTACAGATGACGTGTTGTCGAGTCAAGTGTACACAAAACACTCTGGGGACGGTGCCCGGGCGGGTGCGGAGGCCGGTAATTTTCATGCTTGATCTTGATGCATGTACATAGCAGAGGTGTTGCAATACCTCGGGCGTGACCGGCTGCGCACACCGATTGAAATACTCAAGTCATTCCTTCTCTGCCCGCCTCTGGCCGAGCCGCATTTTCTCCATACCGACAAGCTTCGGCATACATACCCGAGCTACCGATCACAAACGTTACACCAGCCCGACATACAAGATGGCCACCAAAAAGTCGAGCCTACTACTGTATTACCCACGAGAGAATCACTTCTGTGCATGGTGCTCAGGGATCACTATAATCACTTGATACTACTACTAGCTGTATGGCCTCAGTAACCTGGCTTCGCCATCAAAGGAGGAGGGAGCAGGTGGCGACGAGCTGAACTAGGCTGGTTGACCATTCGGCGCGAGAATTTTTATTTTTTTCAGACCAAGAACCTTGAGTGCAACGAGGGAGAAAGCGAGGAACGGACTGGGAAGGACAGCGACGAGAGCGTGTACGGACGGAGCAGGTCGAGTGGCGTTTTGCTCGGGCTGACTACAGCGGCGCCGGATGGGGCAATGGCACCGGAGCATGCGGGCGACATCGACCCGTGGCGCACGGACAAACATTTCTGTGTTGTCAATTTTTTTCGTTTTTTGATCTGACGTTCCGTGTTGGTTTTGTGTGATGACATCGTCACCGGTTTTGTAGAGAGACCCGTCAGAGATGGCGTGGCTAACCCGGGTGCCTTGGTTTTGTGCCTGATCGTGGAAGACCCCTTCAATGTGGAACGATTCTTAGCTAGTGTCGATATTTTTCACTGCAGTGCCTAAACAGACGATCGGGAGAGATTCGGGTGATTGTCAATTGCTGCTATGATGGCTTTGGTTGGTTGTTCTTTTTCACTGTACGGCCGCAGACACATTCTGACAGCACTTCAGACAGCAGCTTTGTGCCCCGCCAGCTGCTTGTTCCATGCCTACCATGGTGTTTTTGTACAGACAGCACTTCAGACAGCATTATGCTGTAGTCGGCAATCTTCCGTTTTGGTATAGAGTGGGACAGGGAGGGGGTGATGCTACTGTAGTCGAACGGTGGGACGGACGTGCAGTTCAGTTTTTGGGCACGCATACGGTGCTGCAGGGATTTTTAGGTGTACCTCTTCGGGCTCTTGGATACCTTTTTCTCGTTATATGTGTGCGTGTTCTTTAGATCCTCAGATGGCTCTAGCACTTTCGTGACCACGGGCTGAGAGTCTTTTGCTAGATTTTGGCATTTAGCAACTGACATACGGTTTAATATGAAGACAACAACAACAACAACAACTACAGCAGTCGTGGGTAAAAAATTGTCCTGGACTCTTATCATCGGCACATGGAGAAGAGCTTGCAAATGCCCGTTCGGGATTCTGTAGCTGAAGGTACAGCAGACACCCGACTAGTCTACATGTATCTACGTCGGCATTCATGCACTCACTCGGCGGGCGAGTTGAAGTATCTACAGTTCATACAGTCAGTACATGTGAGGAGTCTACACTGTAAACGGTGTTTCTGCAACAAAAACATCTTCATGCTGCATTTCTCGCCCCGTCGTTATCAGGTTTCGGGCACACCATGGTGGGGGCTGGGCCTCGAGCGTGTATATATTCAAACTATGTGGTTCATGAGCATGCTATCATACCTCGTTGCAGCCTGCGCAACGAAGTTGACGCTGGCTCCGCGTTCCGAACATAAAACGGATCGCCCGTGGTGGGCATGACCGTGTTGGCGACGATGATGATTTCACCACAGTCGTCGGCCACCTTGATCACCTCTTGTTCGCAGCAATCGTTGCCTCGTGCAAGTGAGGGTGCTGTGTGTGGCGCGTAAAGCGGGCGTGTGAAGTGGGTTGCTGTGCTCGGTTGTTGACGGCAATCTACGGAATCTACGGCAACAACATCTACGGAGACTCGGGGCTCCGTGCAACGCGGATATAGACCATGTGCTTTTTATTCATGACACACAGCGTCCCGTATGTTCGTTGGTCGGCGGCTGTTTGCTCTGCTCTCTTTCGGCTGTCCTGTGTCCGATAACGAAGCAAATTCTTGTGTGCGCTTACGGAAGTCTACGACCAGCCCCGTTCTGGGGATGAGTCCTGACTATCACTGCAGAGTGGACCAATTGCTAATCAACCCTCTGGCAAGCAACTACAGCGAAGAATGGAAATTGCTTGAGCTGGGGTTGTTTTGTTTTGTTTGTTTTTCTCCCATCATTGGACTCTGTCGTCTGCCCTTCTGGCCCCTGTCCTCCACTTTTACCAGCTAGGCGACTCAACCGGGGCCACATAGGAGGGGGGGGTCGGACCCCCTCCTGCGGTTCCTGCCTGAGATATTTTTATCGCGACACGGGTACAGCAATCCCTTCCCACGCGACTTACGAATGAATTCGATCATGTTTTNGTTTGTTTTTCTCCCATCATTGGACTCTGTCGTCTGCCCTTCTGGCCCCTGTCCTCCACTTTTACCAGCTAGGCGACTCAACCGGGGCCACATAGGAGGGGGGGGTCGGACCCCCTCCTGCGGTTCCTGCCTGAGATATTTTTATCGCGACACGGGTACAGCAATCCCTTCCCACGCGACTTACGAATGAATTCGATCATGTTTTCTAACAACGAGCTTTCTTTGCAGCGCGTCGCTTCCAACGGAGACCAGGATTTAATTAGAGAGAAAAAACTCACTCTGTCGGGACTCGAACACGTGACCTGGCCCTTAGCAGGCTAGGCGGCTACCCACTAGACCATCGGGGCGACCGGTCTGTGGGGTGTGCGGGTGTGATTTGAATGAAGTTCCTCCAACATACATAGTCAATATTCATTCTCTGATGGCAGCAGTGACTGGCGCCGGTTTTGAATACTACACGACGAGTGCTCGGGGTTCGGCGTAGAACGAAAGTGGGCGCAGATTATAGATCCACCTGTGAGTTTGGTGCCAATGGATTTCTTGCAGTCTATCAGGAACAGAAATAAATGCACAAATAATATCGCGAATGGGTGTATTTATGAAGTATATATTTAGTCTACACAAGCTTGCTTGTTGTCCGACTAAACCGGGGCATCAGCTACACATCGCGCCACGTCGCGCGTGACTGCCGAGTACTCTCCGATCTGAACAACACTGCAGATTTCATTGGAGGAATTCGTACCCAGGATCACAGATGGTGCTCGAGTTCTCATGTTTTGATCAATAATATGTTGTGGTTTCTATAGTCTAGTCTAGCGAACCCCCCGTTCAGACGGTCGGTGTGGTTTTCATCTGGGGTCCGGTACATTCATATATACGATACCAGGTTGCCTCTTGCGCTTTCGTTCTGGTCTTCCTCTACGAATACCAGTACGCAAGCACCAGCAAAACAGTTTTTCTTCGCCAAAGGTGGCGGTAGGTTATGGCTTGATGAATGTTGCATGCTTCAGTAGTGTACGGAGTGTACGCAGTTTCGTACAGTTAGCGCCCGCAATTGAGAAACGCTTATTTCAGGTCCAGCCTCGAATTCTTATTGTGGATTACAAACTCAGCGTATGTATGTCGTTCAATTTCTCACGTCAAGTTTCCTATTTTCGTGCCACCAAATCCTGCTCAATTTCTTCAATCGGCAATTTCTTATTTTCTCTGCTCACGAGAGCTGGCGGAGAGCATCATCAAAAAACAACATATTCGCCTGATTGAGAGCGAAGTATCTGATTGAGAGCGAGAGCCAAAAAAATTGAAATTTCGGGTCCAGACGCCTCTTGCCATTTCTTGGCAAGTAGGGGACGGGCTATTCCAAGAAGCGGTGCAAATTGAAGGTCTCATCAGCAGCTTCGCGAGCATATGCGTGTCATCGTCATCGGATGCTGCAGCGAGGAGCTAGACAAGTTGCTAGATTTGCCCAGATTGGCTATTTCTGCTCAAACTGTTTCAGGGCGGTATCGCGTCGGGCGGTGGGCTCTGCTGTAGCTTCTGCTCCCCGCTGTAGCTCCACAACGAGAGACTCCCACAGGATGACCAGGGTAGCGGCTTGAAGCTACGGGCTAGCCCTTCAATTCAAGCTACAAAGCAAGCTCCACCTCTCAGTGGTAGTCCGGCTACAGCGTATCGCGCAATCTCGCTCTCAATCAGATGCTACGCTCTCAATCAGGCGAATATGTTGTTAAAACCGTACCGCAGACAGCATGTCGTGGTTCACAGCCTGTCTGGTGTGCTGTGCCAGAGCTTCAGCGCCAGCAGAGAGCGCAGAGCCCGCAGGGGGTCGGAGGGGGCGCCGCAAAAAAAACACCCCCCCCTCGTCTTAATGGTGGTGGTCGAGTAGATCATGTTGTGCGGGGTGGAGAACCCTCACTCCGCGCAAGGGGGATGATCGCACCATGTTGTGTTAACATGGTCAAGCACCCTCCAAGCAGTTACACAGTGCTTACAACTGTCTCTGGAAGTGAAAGCACCAGAAAATAAATTAAGTCATACGCAGCTGTCATCCGTACGCACGGAAGTATGCACAAGATGCCGAACACCCTTACTTAGCAGGATGCGCCCTTCATGCGACTCGCCGAATATCTCACGGCGCTTCGCGCTTGGTGATGTGAGAGCCTGGTCCGGTGAGAACCCGGCGTGCTCCGTCCCGGNACTAACAATAATGCATAGGGGGAGGGGGGGGTAGTGGGGTAGGGGGAAATAGCGAAAAGAGAGCTCTGGGGTTTGTTTCTTATTCGACACACCGTAACGCCTCGTTTCTTATGTAGTAGGGCAGCGGTCGCCGCTGTGTTTCTTACTGAGACATTTCTTATTGTGTGACCCAGATTGAGCAATGTTTCTAAACCCTATTTTCTTATTTTTCGTGAAAAAATGAGCCTTTTCTTAAAAAATATACGTATTTAATTGCGGGCGCTAAGTGTAAGCAACGATCGAAAGGATACATCAAATCCTGCCTCGACCGCGCCGCCGACCGTACGTACCTACGTACAACAACAGGTCTTTCCAGAACGCTGCCTTCGATGCCAACATGCTCGAGAAGGTGTCGAACCTGCAATATTTGCGTTCCGAGAGCAGGGTGGTGGTAATAAGCTGGTAGTTAATGGGAAAGCCTTGTCCGCACAGTACCTGCAAATATCCGTGTATGTCCAACCGACGCGGACGCCTTCCTCGCTCACACACCAAGTACCACCAACCTACAAAAGCTTGCGTGTTGATGTACATGGCCCGTTGAAGAACTTCCGCCACCTTAAAAAACGAATGCTGCTGTGTCTCGTCGGGCATGTCAGCTCGTAGACTTAGGGACGTCTACATATATATGCCCGCCTTCACGTGCCATCAGTTACAGTGCAGGTACATTCGACAGTATATCGTCGTCGAGGGGCACGCACGTGTTACAAGTCTTGGAGACGAGTTGGGGAGAATGCCTGGCGGATACAAGTTTTCGTTGCTGAGTGCGGTGGGTGGGTGTGCATGTGTGTGTTTTTTATTATTAGCATCGACCGCGCTAAACGGCTGACCAATTAAAAGACGTCAGTGCCAGCGGGTAAAAGTCAAGGTCCCTGGAAGGAGGCCAAAATTCGAAAAATGCGCAATGCGCTTGATGCGAATGCCAATACGACTCTCTCTACATGTTCTTTCACG